GTGTGAAAGGTGCATTGTGTGTGAGGGATGCAGTGTGAGAGGGGTGCAGTCTGTGTGTTAGGGGTACAGTGTGTGAGGGGCAGTGTATGTGTGAAAGGTGCTGTGTGTGTGTGGGGGGGGTGAATGTGTGTGAAGGATACAGTGTGTGTGTGTGAGAGGTATGCAGTATGTGTGTTAGGGGTACAGTGTGTGAGGGGCAGTGTATGTGTGAAAGGTGCGGTGTGTGGGGGGGTGAATGTGTGTGAAGGATACAGTGTGTGTGTGAGAGGTATGCAGTATGTGTGTGAAAGGTAAAATGGCAAATGCCCGGTGGGCCGCGATGGCCGTGGGCCGAGGCCGGCAGGGGAGATCACAGAATCTCCCCTGCCAACCCGTGCAGGGCCAGCGCTACCCGAGCGCCGGCCCCGCTGTGTGCCTCCATGGGCCGGTGGGGAGATCAAAGATCTCCCTTTACCGGCCCAGAGGCATGGAAATGCGGCCGCCGGCTGGGGAGGGAGGGAGGCAGGAGAGAGGACCCGGCGGAGCTCTAACAAGCAGCTCCGCCGGGTCCTCTCGCGGGATTCTGAGCGTTGCCGCGGCAACGCTCAGATCTCGCGAGAGTGAACTCTAACCTGCAGGTTAGAGTTCACTCTCACCACTGGACCACCAGGGAAGGATGGCAGAACGGCTCCCCTCCCTCCATGGCAGAACGGCACGGCTCCCCCCCCTCCCAGGATAAAGGTAAGAAGGGAGGGGGGGAAATAAATTTTTTTAATTTTTTTTTTTTAGTAGTAAAAAAAAATATTTAAATTTAAATAAAAAAATACATTCACTCACACACACAGCACCCCGACACAGCACCCCCCAGACACACACAGCACCCCCCAGACACACACAGCACCCCCAGACACACACAGCACCCCCAGACACACACTGCACCCACAGACACACACTGCACCCACAGACACACACAGCATCCCCAGACACACACAGCACCCCCAGATACACACAGTACCCAGACACACACAGCACCCCCAGACACACACAGCGCACCCAGACACACACAGCGCACCCAGACACACACAGCGCACCCAGACACACACAGCGCACCCAGCCACACACAGCGCACCCAGACACACA